AAAAAAGAATTCAAGTTATATGATATTTTACTTAATAAATGTCAATTAAACTCAAGTCCATTTTTTTTATATCAACGTTAAAATATCTTAACGTAACAAGAATTATTTTTCCTTTAAAAAACATTATTCAGAAATTCAGGCAATAATATCAATTATTCCAATTATGCCTTGGCCACAGTCTCCATTGCTGTATTGTAAGCGTATGAGAGAGTGCGACACAGGTTCTACAAGGGAGATTGTGACCGTGGCATTATTGGCGTAATTGATGTTATTACTTTGATCATTATTTGGTCAACTTTTGAAATTTCTTGAGCTGTAAGTAAATTAAAAAAAGTAATTGGACTTTCATTCCCAATTTAACGGATACGTAGACACCTTAATCCTTAAGTTAAAATATCAATTAAAATAAGTTAAATTACATCACTAGAAGGATGTTCTATGACGGAGACAATCACAGTTAGCGTCGTTTACGGGGTTCTTAGATGTTCAACAATCTTTCAACACTGCAAGAAAGATGCAGTCTTTTTCACACACCACTAAAAGTATTGGATTATTGTATCAAATTAAAGTGAAGTGTTGATGACTCCAATGTGAGCTTACCGGTATATTGTTCTGCATTCACATAACTTTAAATTGAGTAAGAATTCCGAGGATGACTAAGTCCTTGTCATATTTATCTACTTTATGTTATAACAAGTTTATTATAGAGTTGAAAATATAATATATGTACAGACTGTGGGCGTGGCCTTATTCGTGTCATTTGATGTTAGTTTGTTAATTTGGAGATCAACACGGCTCACCACACGATTCGGATCTTGGCATATTCGCCACTGATTTCCCGCTCCAACATCAGTGACACTGATGATGCCTCGCCCATAGTCTTCATTATATGTTATGTTTTCAACTCTATAATACACTTGCTATAGCAAAAATTAGAGAAATTTGACACAAATTTAGTCATTTTCGAAATTCTTACTCAATTTTTCAAGAAATGATTGCAAAATAATATACTAGTAAGCTCGCATTCGAGTCATCCACACTTCACGTTAGTTTGATTCAATAATCCAATAGTTCTAGTGTGTGTGGAAAAGACTGTAGCTTTCTTGTAGTGTTGGATGATTGTTAAACATTTAAGAAACCCGTAACCGACGCTAACGGCAATTGTTTCCGTTATAAAATATCCTTCACAAATTTAAACAATAACATCAATTACACCGATTATGCCACGCCCACATTCTCCCATTGTGGATCCTGCTTCTGACTCTCGTATACGTCTACAATATAGCAGTTAGAGTTCTATGACACATGCCGACATACAAATTCTTCAATACTTGAAGTTTGTTGAAGTTTGTCTGTGTATACTATTTCTATATTGTTGTATTGTAGGCGTATGAGAGAGTCAGAAACACCATCCACAATGGGAGAATGTGTGCGTGGCATAATCGGTGTAATTGATGCTATTGCTTTCAATTGTAATTGGTAAACTTTTCGAATTTCTTAGAACGGAAATCCACAATGAATCACGACCTTCAAAAACGAATGCCTAATATTCAAACTTAAAAGAACTACGTGGACTTTGATTCCCAATATAAGGGGTACGTTAATTGACATATGATATACGAAAGGATACTTATTAAATGTCAATTAAGCTCAAGTCCATATTTGTTAACAAAGTTGTACTCCACATATGTTAATTCAACAGTATCTTGAGTTTCATCAACGTCATCATGCAATCCGACTCCAATACACAGTCTCGAGTAATATATCCGTTCTTTTTGTTAGTAGCCTCAAGCATGTTACTTAATAGATGCTGTCCAATTTATCATCTTTGGTGTGTAAGATGTTGATACTATTATCTCACAGTCCCATAAGGGTACATACCTTTTCACGCATCACTGGTACTGTTGGATAATGATATCAAACTAATGTCAAATGTTGATGACTCAATTGCAAGTTTACCATAACATTATTTTACATCCCTTTTCTCGACATTGAGTAGGTATTCAAAAGATAACTAAGTCTGTATAAGCGTTCTGTTTTTTGTGTTATTGCAGGCGTAATCTAGCATTAAAAGCATTATATGTAATGGAGAATATTGACCTGATATCATTGTCCTAAATGAAGTTGATGTTTTGAGATCATCTTCTAAAGTTCAAACATTAACTCAAAAACATTAACAACAAAAAGCAATTGTGATGTCACGTCAATATTCTTTATTATGTATTATGCTTTTAATTCTAAATTTCGCCAGCTGTAGCATAAACAATAGAACATTTATACATACTTAGTTATCTTTTGAATTCTTACTTAACGTCGAGTAGAGGAATGCAAAATAATGTAATGATAATGTTGTAGTTGAGTCATCAACATTTAACATTAGTTTTATATCATTATCCAAAGTACCAGTAATGCGTGAAAATGTATGTACCCTTATGTAACTGTGGGATAATAATATCAACATCTTGTACGCCAACGATGATAACTTGGACAGCTTCCGTTAAGTAACATGCTTGAGGCAACTAACAAAAAGAACGAATATATTACTCGAGACTGTGTATTCGAGTCGGATTGCATGATGATGTTGATGAAAATCAAGATATTGTTGAACTAACATAGTAAAATTGAATTTCGCAAGTCCTACGATGAGTTTACCGAAAACAAGGATTCTGGGACATGAGTGAGTTTACGGGTTCTATCATGTTAGGCACATGTTTGTGCAATTACTTGGACGTGTCCTCGTTATTAACACTATACATCTCATCATATTTTTTATTTAAAAAAAAAAAGAAAAAAAAATTAAAAGACCCGCGATCCGCTGGAACCGGACCGAACCGGCGGGTCTACGAACCGGCGGGATCGGGCTGAGAACCGGTCCGTCCCGGACCGCGCCTTCGTCCGGTTCGGTCCCGGGCCTGGTCCAAGCGGACCGTCGGCCCGGCGGGCCGAGCCCGGACCCATTGACTGGTCACGTCTCTCGAGAGTTCGATATACGACACGACTCGTGTCTCGGGCTCACACGACCCGTGTGAATCTAGGAGTTCAAAACAGCGTCAAATCTTCATTTCCTGAACGTCTCGTGGCTCCTGGTCGATTTTCCGGCGTCTCAGGCGACTCCCAGAGGTCGGACGGTGGTCAGGTCGCTGGACATCGCGAGTTCCGCCCACTTCCCGTCAACTCCCGCCGGCGCACATAAATTGGCGAGCAAATCCAGCGACGTGCTTGGTGTTCGAGTTGCTTCTCCGGTGACGGGATGACGGCGACGAGGTGGTCCGGTGACGTGTGGCGGCGCGGTGACGAGGTGAGGGAGCAGCAGCAGGTCATCAATGGCGGAAAGACGTTGTGCATACGTGAATTTGGAGAAGTTAAACCCATTCTACGAAATGACGGTTTTGTCCTCATTTAATTTGCTTTTGGGCCATGCTTTTTTGGTTTTTCTTTGGGCTGAATTCATGAGCATTATTGGCTGCGTGTTTTGGGCGCAACGTAAGAAATCAAATGGTCCTGCAACAGTTACCTATGGACTGTGTAATTGGGCTCGTCCCAATGCATGACTCGCACTGCTTTTATGTCCAATTCATCCCGTTTTCGACACCAAAAATTAACTCGACCTATTTCCTGTCAAAACTCAAATAAAGCACCTTTGTCATAGCTTAATAATATTAATTAAATAAATAATTAAATAAATAATAATTAATTAAATAATAACTAATTATATATCAAACTACGACGAAACGGACACAAAAATCACTATAAAATACACGTAAATATGACGCATGTCAGCGGCAAATCCGGTTTTCCATGAGAGAACCAAACATCTTGAGATCAATTGCCATGTTGTTCGAGATAAGTTCAAGGCTGGCTTCATTAATCCATCTTATGTGTCATCCTCGGCTCAACTGGCAAATTTTTTCACCAAGTTACTGCCTGCTGCTGCATTTCGTCGTTTATTGTGCAAGTTGGGTGTGTTTGCATGTGACCATACTCCAACTTGAGGGGGTATACGAGATCAGCAACATATATGGTGGATTCCTTCATCTCACATGAGTGTGTGTGTTTTTCTTATAGCACACAGTTATAACTGCTCGTAAATAATCGGCTTGCATGTTTAAAGTCGTGACACGATTCTATTAGTGGTTTTTGTTCTCGTTTGGTTATAATTGCAACGACGACGTTTTGGCATGTTTAAATACGACGTCGTTTGGACTGTTGCATGAGAGATATAAATGCACCTGCATGTACGGTTTCCCTTTCATTGCAATCAAATAAAATTTCAAGCAAGTACAACTGTATTTATTTTTATTCGAACCAAAAGTTGAATCATGTAATGTTGCCAAGTAAGCTTCCGAAGCGTGCGAGCCAGCCATTTAAGCTCAGCACGTTTCGAAATTATATTAATGGGGGATATTAACATGCTTATAATTTTCATGTAATCTTGATTTGTAAGCTTCAGGTGGTTTTTTGAATTTCTCTATTTAAGCAATAGAATAACACACGAAAAGCTAACAATTCAATACTACCAAACATGATTGTGTTCTCTAGTCTTTTCTTTTTGTGCCTTGTGATTTGACTGCGATTTCACTAATCTAACAATTCAATACCACCAAACATGATTGTGTTCTCTAGTCTTTCCTTTTTGTGCCTTGTGATTTGACTGTGATTTCACTAATCGGGTGTTTTCTCTCACTGGGGACTGCCTTTCACGTTGGGTTTCACCAGCAACCGGGTGGATATTCTAACATTGTGGTCATCCACACGTTCACGTTGGGGAGTATGGCACCTTTCAAATACTAATTACACAACTTTAAAGTATGTTAACCCTCAAGTGCTATACTTATATGAATTCAATTTCAGCCATATTTTCTACATTGACCACTCTAATATAGCAAAGAATAAAATAGATCAGCTCTTCGTTCAAGAAACTAAAAAGAACAAGATACCTGACGGTTATCATCTACTTACCATCTCCTCCAATACAATGAAAATTCAATGCACGAACAAACTTGAAAAGCATGAAACTGCAACACCTTATTATGATACACACATTATTGACATATTAACATGTAGCGAAACATGAAATAGTCGATCCACAACTTACGTCACATATCAGTATACATGTCTTGTAACCAGACCTGCGCACGACTTATTTGAAATACTTACACATCAAACAAACAAACAACAAACATCACAACATAAAAACATGTATCATAATTTTAATTACTCTCTCTTTGTTTCAGAGACCTGCACTGTCTCGGGGTAAAGCACAGTCTTGGCACCCGTGTAGTCCATCAGCCTCTTCCCGAGAGCCTCCCTTGATGGCTCGCCAGGTCCCGTCATCGACATCAGCCTTAAACTCCACTCCACCAACTCCGGGAACAAAAGCTTCCACAAATAAGTGACTTTGAACCAAGCTGGCTCCGTCACGTACCTTTCTCCACGGATTGCACCCCTCACTATGGCCTTTGCGCACCTCTCCGTACTTAGCACAGGCATTACGTTCACTTGCACCTGCAATTCATCCACGCAATTCCAATAACCCAACCAAATTAACTAAAAAAAAAAAAAAAAGGGTACTTAATTACATCTCTCGTGTCTTGATCGACTTCGAGTCTTCCTGCCTTGTTGTAGAATTTTCCTTGAGTGAGCTCGGATTCTATGTATCCGGGAGTAACGAGTGTTATCCCAATATCTGGTCCGAATTCCACCCTCAATGTCTCGAAGAACTGTGAAATTGCTGCTTTACTCGCCTGTTTTATTGGATTGCCACATTTTAAGATAATCAATTCATATTTCGAAACGTCACATCAGAATACTAGAATAGCCGTGCTAAATGGGTCATTGTCATTTTGCTAAATATGAAATTCCCATTTCTTCGTAAAAAGGGACTAACATTGTAAATACTCATCCTGGGTGAAGGCATCCAAGCAGCAGATGAAGAAAGCACCACAATTTTGCCTCTGCTATTCCTAAGGTACGGAGCTGCAACCCTCGTCATGTACACATAACCCCAGAAATTCACGTCCTGCAACCTCAAAATACATTTGTCATTCAACTAATTATTTTGTGTCTCTAATATTATTTTAAAAGATGATAAGAAAATATATACACCCTTGTATATTGTTAGAATCACACATATTAAGTATATCCTTCATGTTCCTCAATTTGACCATAAAAAATTCATTAACACTAAAACGGAACATAAAATAGACGAACAGGATTCATGATCATACCATAACGTTTCGAAAATTGGTGACATCATCAACTTCCTCCAGCAAGGCAACTGAGGCAATCCCAGCATTATTCACTAGATGATCCACTGCAGAGATATATTCAACGAAATTATGAGAAACTGAAATTGTTTACTCGAAGCTTATTATTTCAGTACTGTAATTAATTCAAAAAGGCTACAATAATTAATTGAAATGAAATTAATAAAAAGGCGGACACGTGTGGTGGATGTGATCTTACATCTACCAAAATGATTCATAGTCTGATCAACGATCCTCCTGCAATCCTCCACCTTGGACACGTCAGCACGTATAACGATGACATCTGGCGACCCCAAATCACGTGCCCTTTCAGCCACGTCACCAAGACTTCCTTCTCGTCTGGCCGCCAGAGCTAAGCACGCCCCTCTCTTAGCATACTCATATGCAAGGCACTACACCAATAAATAAATAAATAAACACATAAATTGTAATTTATTTAAAGATCATATACCAAAAATTGAAAATTTTAAAAATGAACAAGAAATAAAATAAAAATCAAGTACAAGAAAATAGAAAACATAATCGAAGTTCCCAAAACACGAAAAAAATGATACTAGCCTAGTAGAGCCCTAATAATGAAAAAAGAAAGTAGAAATTAAATAGGTTTTTTTATTTTTTACTTGGCTTGATGAAAATTTTTAATCTTGTGGGAAGTTAATAAAATTAATAAACTTACTTCCCCTATGCCGGAGGAAGCTCCGGTGATGAGGACAACCTTTCCGGCCACGTCTTCACAGAAAAGGGTACCCAAAATAGAGAGGAAAAATTTGAAGACCTGAAAGGGCGGCCAGAAAAACAAAAGGGAGAAGAAGGTGAAAGGCGGTGCTGCTAAGTTGAGGAATGTGTGAATTAATTCCATCAAGGCTGATGATTTTTCTTTTTTCCTCAAGACTGTTTTTGTTTATGAGCAAGTATATATGGACCGTTGAGAGCTTAAAAGTACTATAAATGGAGATATGTATAGCCAATTGATAAGTATAAGAATTGTAAGAGAGGGACGTTGATTCCTTCGAGTATCGGTGGCACCGCTGCATGAAGAGAAGATGACACGTATCATTTGGTTAGCAATCGGTACTGATGACAAGATCTATGCGAAAATGTTTGAAATAATGAACACAAATGTTATTTCTATCGTGTCTTATTTTTAATTAACATCTATATATATCTAAAAAGGTTGATGTAAATTTTTTTTTTAGAAACTTAAAAATAATTAAATTAACTTTTGACTTTTTATTTATGTATTCTACTTTAAAATCAGAAAAAAAATTATGAAAATACAGTGAATATTTCGTTAATTTAGCATGAAATTTGTGTTAATTAAGCAAATGGATATTCTCCTTAATAATGGTGATATTTCCGTTAATTAAACATGTGAAATTGATTGTCTGTTGTAAAAATTATGGGACTTACTATCTATCCAAATACAATCCATAACTATCTCATTTTTTGTTAATAAAAAATACTAGTACAATTCTCGTGTATTAAACGGGTGTTGAATTAGAAAGATTTTGTAAAAAATATTACATTTTGTATGTTTTTTAAAAACTATAATAATCTAATTTTATATAAAACATTACTTTGGGTTTTAGTTAAATTGTCAAATTATATTTTTTTAACCATAATAATTAAACACCCGTACATTAAATGAAAATGTCTACTCGTGTTGAATTTTTTTACTTATATCATTTAAAAATATCGATATTATTTAGTATTACATAAATACAAAAATATATATCTTAAATAAATAGAAATAATATGGTGATATGTATATGCATAAGTGTAGAATATGTTTATTTAATATTAAAAAAATAGATTAATTTTTTTACTTAATTAGATGCCTAATACACCAACTGTCGTATCAGTCGTGCTTCAAAGTTTTTAACTTTATATGTAATTTTAGAATTTAGATAAATAATTGTTTATTTTTATTAGATTGACAATATAACAATTAGATTTGAAATAAATATCATTATTAAAAGTTTACATACCAAATTCTATTACTTTATAATATAATTTATAGTTTTATTTGATATAATTTAATTTAGTTTGATAAATAAATTTAAATTTTATTTATAAGGATATATACTATTGTTTTGTATTTTATATATATAATATGGATGTGAAATCGAAAATAATCAAAATCTGATTAATTTGATATATTATATATGTAAAACCGATAAGAAATACAAAAGTTATCAATTTTAAAGTAGTTTATGATAACTAATTGAAGAATTAAAGAAGGAAAAAAATCAATCATGGATTTAGTGTTATAAAAAATATTAATTTATATCCAAGCCTACCTCCAAAGCATGAGTTTTTGCCAAATAGGATTCGCATGAGAGTTTGCCACGTAGACTCAGCGCATTTTGAAATTATATATAGAGGAGATGTGAAATTGAAAATCATGGGACTTACTATCTATCCAAATACAATCCATAATTATCTTATCACTTTTGGTTAATAAAAAGTTGTATAAAAGGATATTCACTCCCACCATTACAACTCATCATTCACGAGTTCAGAGAAAAAAAAATACAGAGAATAATTTTTCATCGCATATACAATATAATGCTTCCAGGCTTTTCATGGCATATACAATATAATGCTTCCAGACTGGGGTTCACTTGATTCCGTTAACAAAAGAAACAAACTTTTTTTTGCCTCTGAGAGCACCCGCATTATTGAAACCCATCACGAACGGGAGAGCTGTAACGCATTCCATATACTGTTTCATGATGAACAGGTAATATTTACCTTTGTTATTTCAATTTTATATAATTTAGAAAATTATTTTAATTAATATTTATAAATTTGTATCGTAGGGTGCTTTCATTAAATGCATAATACGTTATCCGAATATGAGAGCAACAAACTTTATATAAACTGAGAGCAGTCTAATTTTTGTAAAATATGTAAACTTTAAACGTGTTTTTATATATAAAATTGTATATACTTTTAAACATGTTAGTTGGGCAAACTTTAAGGATATATATATGTGTGTCTTTGCTAACTTTAAGTATATATATTTTTCTTATAAAATAGTCTAGACAGAATTGAGGTAATTTCACATTTTTCGATAATAATATAAAATATTTTAATACTTTCACATATGTTATATAATAGTCTACGTATTCTTAATGTCTTTTGGTTGTAACATTGTTAACACATATAATATTAGATACTTTTAAACATATTTAGATAATTTTTTTACTCATTCTTTAATATCTATGTGCATAAAAAGAGAATAAGATTTATAAAAGATTTTTCGGCAATATACTAAATGTTAAATAAAAAATCCCATTTTATTTGTTATATAATATTTCGAGTTGCATTAATTTTGGTTTGTATGTGTAAACTTGATAAATTAAGCGTATGAAAAGGAGCGTACGAATTACTGTAAGGATTTAAAAAATAAAAAATAAATCTACTTTTGTAATATTTTCTACTAACTTCTAAACGAATTTATGTCATAATTCGTCATAATTTTTCCACATCATGTCAATATTAATTTTATATATACTAGGCAAAAGGTAAATCATTATCTCAATATTTATTCTATATATTCTAAGTAAATCTTCTCATCTATCTCAACGGTCCGCAGGTAGTATTTCATACTTTTCTATTCATAATCAAATATATCAAAGCTTCACAAATTTTACTTCACAAAGAAAGTGTTCAATAATTTATATTTTTTTTCCTTCTTTGCAATCCATTTATTTTTGTTACATATATATAAATTATATTATTTTTAATATTTTACACGTTAAACATTTCAAGAAAATATACCATCCCGTGCATCGCACGGCCTACGCGCTAGTTCTATCTAGTCAAGGATAACGCACAATTGTGTTGATAATACACAATTATAAATAAAATTTTATATCCTATATGAGTGCATAATATTTAAAATTATAAGTTGAGATAATTAATATTTCACATCTTACAAATTAGTACGTAGCCCTTGCGATACATAGGACAATTATTATAAATTGCATGTATTCAAATATTGAAGAAATATTAATTAGTATAAAAATAATTTTGAATATATTAATAATTATTATTTTTTTATTATGATGTATAATAATTTAATATATGATTTATATGTTTATTTCAATCATTATAAAATAGTTGTCATTTTATACATATCCTGTTTATAATTGAGGATAATAAAAATTTAACATATTCAAATATTATTAATATATAATACTCACTGAATACCTTGTTACAATACATTATTTCGATTTCTAAATAAGATAGACTAAAGTTAAAATATTGTGGCAAATATTATAACCAACACTTAATTGAAAAATATTGTAATCTATATTATTTTGAAGTAAAAAATAATTATTAATTTTTAATTACATCAATATTATTTTATTTTTTCTTATAAATTTTAATATTATAAATATTTTATTTTTTATTTATAATTAATTTATATGAGATTTGTTATGATATTGTGAATCACAATATGATTTTTTGAAAATTTGGTTTTGTGCATTATTGATAAAATCAAAGGATATCTTTTAACACCTTAAATACATGATTTTTGTTATATGTTGGTTATGAAATGAATAGAAAATTAAATGGACTTGTTATTAATATTGAGATATCATCTATTATAGTATTGTGTTAGTTATATCAATAAAATTTTTGCAATTGATCTGTACTTATATTTTTGTAGTGTTCTTACGCATATTTTGGCTACAAATGCCTGGATACCCAACAAAACAGGAGAACGCATGATATGTTATTAAGGATAAAGATTTGTTTAATATAAAAGATAAATATTTTAATTTCTTTTGATATTTTAGAAAATTGAGTTTATATTTTTTTAAAAACTGAAACGGTTGAATTATTGATAAATCAAAGGATTATAACCTAATCCTCTTGAATAAATTATCTTTTAAAGATACGATAAAAATAATTTTAATATATGGTTGGTTACTAAATGAATAAGAAACCACTTTGATTTGTTATTAATGTTGATGAATAAGATTATATTGAAACACTGTGACAAATATCATAATAAAATTTTCATAATTGATTTTAACTTTTATTTTATAATTATATTATAATTTTATCGTGCACATTAAAATATTATTTTTAAATATAAAATATATGTAATAGATCTTTTTTGTAGACATGTTGTATGGCTGGTTACTAAAAGAAAAAGAAATTGCAGTGATTCGTAATTAATATGAATAATTGAATTTTTATTGCAATAATTTTCACAAAATAAATTTCAAAATTGATACCACTTTAGTTATATAGAAAGTCGTGTTGTTAATCAGATTGCACGATTTACAACAGGAAGATATAATTAAACTTTATTTTTTATAAATATAATAGTATATTTTACTATATTTCTTTTAATAGTAAGTCAACATATTTCATTACAAAATCAAAGTTATTATTTTAAATTATGCCATCGACTTATTTCAATATCTATAAATATTATCATTAATAAAAATAAATAATATAAATATAGATTAATTACCTTACATACGAATCATTCTATTGTTCATTATATTGATTGCAATAATGTATCTTTTGTAATCATGAATGATTATGACCAACTAATTAGATAAATAAGATACTTAAAATATTATTATAGCAATTGTATATGGAATTTTAAGGAATTTAGTTATGCCATAGAAAAGAAATATCCAATTTTAATAAGAAAAATATTGCTTAATTAACTAAAATGGATATAATAATTTTAAATAAATAATTTAGAAAATACTTAGAATTGAATTTTCTAGATGTACATAATTCCATATATAGTTTAGTGTGATTTTATGATTATTTGGTAGTAACTACTATGTAGTAAAAAAAAATAAAAATATAATTACTTGATTAACGCAAAATGTAAGAGTTTTTTTATTTTTTATTTTTATTTTTTATTTTTTTATTTTAATTAGCTGAAAA